TTAGTCACGCCGGAAGGAACAAAGGATGCAGCAGAACCTGCGCGTGGGCCACAGCAGACCAGACGTCTCCCACAGAGCCCCACTGGGCCACGGATCGCCCCCCACTGAATTAGTGCGCGGGAAAGAGCGAACAAGCTGGATCTGCCTGGTCCACCACCCTCGGGACCCACTGGTCCTGAACGAGGGAGTTCCTGGACCAGGGGAGGTCAGGCTTCCGGGATCTGGGTGGGGGGAGTGGGTGCCAGGCTTCCCGCTGCTCCCTTCTCCAGCTACCAGGCCCTGTTGCCTCCCCCCCCCACCCCCGTGCTGTTGTCATCCTTCCTCTCCCAGCTGCCAGCAGCGTCTCCAGGGGCTCTCTGCTCCAGCAGTGTCCGTGGTCCTGCCAGACCAGAGAGGTTCAGTCTGTATCTGCAGAGCCGGTGTTTTGAACTCTGCGTTGTCAGTCATCTGCAGGGTTGTGTGACTGTTCTGACTAGTTCTGCTAACTCTGTACATTAGAGCCAGCAGCGGCCAGTATTTACCTTCCTCTGCAAAGCACTTGGAAACCCAAGGCTGAGAAGTGCAGCTGCCCATATTCATTCATCGCCACTGAATGTTCAGATTTCTTTTGCAGATGGAAATCTTGGGCTTATGACACCTTTTAGTTGTGTCGTGCTCCCGTTTTTGGCAGGCTTCGGAGGGAACAGCTGTCTTCATTTTCTTGCCTCTGAGTCATAAAGAACCCTTGAGTTTAGTAACAAGTGAGGTCTGTGTGCGTCCGTACACCCTTGCCACAAGGGGACGGTGCTTTTTTGGGAAGCTGGCTGCAAGGGCATCTTTTTCCAAAGCAGATGCTGTTGTTTGGAGTACGAAGGGTGGAGTCTCCAGGCTGACTAGCTTTTTCGGGGTGAAGCCCGTGGTTTTGGTGGGTCACTTACCCCATGTCTGCAGTTGTTTCTTGTCTTGGATTTCTGAGTGGCTGGCCCAGCTGGGGAATTGTCTGCCCGGGGGAAACTGGCAACCCTTCCCTTCTGTAGCACTGTTCAGCCCTGGGGCTCCGAGTGCTTTGCGGAGGCAGGTAGATCTTGTTCAGCCCCAGCGTGCCGAAGGGAATCGGGAGCGCCGCGCTGCCCCGGGGCTCTGACACGCGAGAATGGGGCGAGAACAGAAGAGGTGGAAGGACCCGCCCTCGCTCACGGAGCTGGGTGATGTCAGTGCAGGGGCTCTCCCACTTCTCGGGCTTTGGAGGTGGGACTCGGGCTTCAGCCCTCTCACGCCAGCCCTGGTGACCCGCAGTGTGAGCGCGGCTGCTTAGAGCTGGGACGTGGGAGGCAGAGCACCCATCTGCTGTCCCCTGACCAATCGGTGAACCTGAGAGCGGCCAGGCTGGGTCAGACCGACGGTCCATCTAGCCCGGGGTCCTGTCTGCCCACAGTGCCCGATGCCAGGTGCCCCAGAGGCGGTGAACAGAACAGGGACTCGTCACATGATCCCTCCTTTGTCACCCATTCCCAGTCCCTGACAAACAGAGGCCAGGGACACCATCTCCGCCCCGCCTGGCTAACAGCCATCGATGGACCGAACCTCCCTGAACTTATCTAGTTGTTTTTTTAACCCTATTAGGCCAGGTCTGGGCTGCAAGCGTCTTTCGAAAGAGAGCGTCTAGACTACAACCGGTGCTTTCGAAATAGCGAGCCACTTTTTTGAACGAGAGCACCCAGGCAGGCTAGACACTGTCTTTCGAAAAAGCAGAGTTTGCATTCCATAGCACCTTTTTTCCAAAGAGCACTTTCCAAACAAGGCGTTATTTCTCATAAAACAAGGTTTTCCACAGTCGAAAAAACTGCTGCGTTTTCAATTTACTTTTGAAAGTAAAGTGCTTTTGAAAGTGCGGCAGCAGTCTAGATGCAGGGGAAGTTTTTTTCAAAAAAACCCTGTAGTCTAGACACACCCTTAAAGTCCTGGTCTTCACATCATCCTCTGGCAAGGAGTTCCACAGGTTGACTTTGTGTTGCTTAAAGAAATATTTCCTTTAGTTTGTATTAAAAGTGCTACCTTTTCATTTCATTTGGTGACCCCCTAGTTCTTGTGTTGGGGGTACACATAAGAGGTGCTCATTTGGAAGCCTTTTTCAGATATAGATGAATTGGTGATGCATAGCTGGCCCTCGTCTTTTTCCTCTGACAGTCGATGAGGACTCTGCTAAACGAAGCCATTTCAGGTGCAAGCTAACTTCCGTTGTTGTGTGTTTCTCAACGCTTCTCTTCTGGGCAGGCCGGGCTCCGCCTCGGAACACGACCGTGGACCTGAATAGTGGGAACATCGATGTCCCTCCCAACATGGCCTGCTGGGCCAGTTTCCACAACGGCGTGGCTGCGGGGCTGAAGATTGCACCTGCTTCTCAGATCGACTCCGCTTGGATCGTCTACAACAAGCCAAAAAACGCAGAACTAGCCAACGAATACGCAGGCTTCCTCATGGCCCTGGGCCTGAACGGGCACCTCACGAAGCTCGCCACACTCAACATACACGACTACCTGACCAAGGTGAGGCCTTCCCTCGGAGTGGAGATGGAAGTGACTTTGCCTTTCTCTGTCCGGGGTGCCAGAAAACAGCCGGCGCGGGCGTGGGCGTGGGCGCGGCTGTGGGCGTCGTGGTGGTTTCTTTTTTGTTAAATTGCACTGTGGGTTTCTTAGTGCACGGGAGTGTCACTCGCCCCGCTAGCTGCTGACTCGTCGTTGGGCTGGGAAGTTCTGAGACGGTGTTCCATAACCCTGCCGTCCATTTGTCTCCGGGAACACACGCACGTCGTTTTCGTGATGAATCATCGAGAGCACCGGGTTGTCTCAACAGGCTCTCTCCGTACGAGGAAACGTGGTGTTGGTCATACACTTTAGCAGCTTGCTTTTCCCCAGCTTATTGTTGGGAGAGCCCAATTCCAACAGTTGAGTTCTTGGAGTGCAATCAACAAAGGCTGTCTCCGTTCCTCATCTAGGAGCAAACAGGTCCCGTTTCAGTTCACTGGGCAGGACGCACACTTCCCTTGGTGCGTTTGGGATGTCCTGGTTATAGTGTGTGACCAGGGACAGGGGTCTAGCCTCTGCTCCTTGGCAGAGAAGGCTGTAAGCGCTAGGCATGCTCGAACCGCGATTGGTATGTAGTGTGATCTAAAGGCAAGAGGGCACAGAACTGCGAGGGCTTTGGAGTTATGGTTTGCTTACAGGCAGCCTCTCGGAGCAAAGTTATGGGCAGAATTAAATGGTGTTGGTTGCGGGATTCTTCTCCATTGCCTAGAAGATCAGACGGGGCTGGCAGGGCATGTCTGAAGCTGGTTCTGGCCAGCCCCCAAAGAGC